TGTAAAACATTTTAGGAGCTGACTGCCCGAACATTTGTGAATGAGTTAAAATGTTATCTTTGTTGATGAACCTAATATGTTAGTTTTATTGGGGTCATGTGATAAAAACGTTTCTAACACAATACCATACATTTATTTCTTAGTATAAAATAACAATATCTAGTATTTTTTTACATCATTTTAATTTTCATTATTGTAAATATTGTACATAGTTATGCTGTAAGATGCTTGTAACAAAAACAAAATGCATTGATTTGACTTACGTTAATAGTTTTGAATATTTATTATTAGTTGTATTATTAGTTGTATTATATAAAAAAACAATACAAATAAAATTGTATCATTATAAGTTCTTTTTTCTTTTATTAGGATCTTTGTTAAAAAAAAATACATATATTTAGATACAAAACTTGGTGTCTAACACATGAAAAATTGATATTTTACAACAATACACAATGTTTTAAAATGTTTCGCAAGCTGCAACGGCCCTCGCTTCTAATTTTATGTTGTAAATATTTATCAACAACATATATCAGCTTATCAATATTGAATCAATTTGAGTTTGACCCAAGGCGTGTTTATTTACAAACAGCTGTATGCATAATTATCATGTAATGTTTGCATGGATGACATTTTTGCGGGAAATATGAAAATCCACATTTATTTCATTTAACGCGGAATGTTAGACTTAAGCAATGTCCCCCAAAAGTTTGATAGTTATCAGATACTAATGAAGAAAAGAAACCCATGAAAACTCTTTTGCATATTTTGAAAATTTTACCAACCGTCTAGCCCTCTTGACCACGCCGGCAACTTACCGATCAATCTCAAAATTTAGGTTTTACACACGCTTATACCGTAGCGTTACGGTATAAATATATATTATATAAAAAAAGTAAAAATACCATTTATAGTGGTTTTATCTTACTGATTTTTGACCAGCAACTTAGTATACGGTCCCTCTTCATAAACAGTACCAGAAAATGCATATACAAAAAAACTTTTCTTTAAAATTTCATTATTTTTAACATCAAAGTATCTGGCCTAAGGCATACGTGCAATTTGCGGTCAATATTAAAACACTCATTAAATAACACGCAATATTAGAATTAAGTAACGTCCACCCCAAAAGTATTAGTTATGAAACAATGCTGATTTTTTAATGATAATTAACAGTTGTTTTGTTTGATTTTAAAGATGAAACGACACACTGTACATCTATTGCAGCTGTACCTATTTGTAGCTAACCCTTATAAAAATGTTTCTAATTTGTTAATGTAATGTATTTAGAAATTTAACTTTTGTGAGTGAACATAATGTGTATTACTTTTTCAAAACACGTAATCGAGAAACACATAAACAGTGATTATAAAAATAATAACATTACAGCTTCTGTATTTACCAGTAAAAACTTGTTCATTCTTAGTATAACAGAGTGTCTGAAAGACCCAGACTATTGCTTAAAATTAATGTCAAAGAAATTTAAGTTTGAAAAAAAAATTTGAATTTAACATAAGTACTTTGGGATATGCACAAAAATACACTCAAAGAGTTAGAGTGATTGCGGTTTTCGAAAAAGGAAAAATTCATATAATTAGCGCTTATCCTATATATTAAAAAAAATACAAATTTATAGATAGCACGTACTTTGGTAGCGTTATCATTTGAGTTTTTTCAACAATGTTGAAACCTGAAGCAGTTACACACATGTAATACAAACTGGACTCTGTACAACTTGTTTGAAAATTTTGAAACAAGGATAAAATGCAGCCATTTGTAAACATCCAGACAAATTAACTTTTGTGAGCGAACATTATGTGCATTACTTTTTCAAAACACATAATCGAGAAACACATAAACAGTAATTATAAAAATAATAACATTACAGCTTCTGTATTTACCAGTAAAAACTTGTTCATTCTTAGTGTAACAGAGTGTCTGAAAGACCCAGACTATTGCTTAAAATTAACTTCAAAGAAATTCAAGTTTGAAAAGACATTTGGATTTAGCATAGGTATATTAGGATATGCGCAAAAAGAGACTCGAAAAGTAAGAGTGATTGCAGTTTTCGAAAAAGGATATATTCATATAATTAGCGCTTATCCTATATTTTAATAAAAAAAGTTACAAATTTATAGGTAATACGTACTTTGGTATTGTTATCATTTGAGTCTTTTCAACAATGTTGAAACCTGAAGCAGTTACACACATGTAATACATACTGGACTCTGTACAACTTGTAAGAAAATCTTGAAACAAGGATAAAATGCAGCAATTTGTAAACATCCAGATGTTACCGTGATATTCGTTTTTGATGATATTCCACGTTAATACATGTGCTAATTCATGTACTAAGCACGCAAACACAGCCTCCTGTGGTACTTGATGAGAAGACACTAAAATTTCTAAAATAAACCCCAGTCTTTTTTCTCTGGTTTGATGGTTATGTTCGTTTCACCGCATATTAGTGTGATTTTTGCATTACCTAAAAAGAAAATATTAATTATATACAGTAATAAGAACATCATTGTGTGAATATGTACTCACGTGTTCTTACTTTTTTTTCATCTGTCATAAATAATATATGTATGCTAATGAAAAAAAACTTACCAAGAGTGTACTGGCCGGATCCGTTTGATCTGAGATAATTTATTGCATCACACTGAAACATTTTAATAGCAAATAAAGGTTTGGTATTATCTTGTAAAATATCTTTAAATTCCATCATTGGCGGAGGAATCTCATCAGAAAAAAGAACGTTAACTGGTATGCCTAAATATTCCATGTTTCACTTTTGTCGGTGAACACTTGTCTAACAAAAAAAAGTGTAGTTTTTTTTAAATATTAAATAGACAGGTGTCCAAAAAAAAAAAGAAGATTATGATCAGATCTCGCAAAGATAAAATCACTAACGATGAAAACACATTCCAGTCCCGGCAGAAGGACTATTAAAAACATGTAAAGAACTCATGTACATTCTAACAACACAGTCACTTTTATGCCTTTAATGATATAACTTACAAATACATGTACTTACAATAAGTTTTAAAAGACATTCTGTACACAAGACTCTGTAAAATACTAAGAAAAAATACAGTCGCATATGACAGGAAGTCGGTAAATTCAGGGAGTCGTTAAGGTAGTCTTGACTGTATTCATTTGGAAACATTTTTGTTAATGCTTTTGCTCTATTTTTTTTAATTTGCCTCAGAACACCGATCATGGAAGAGTTTCAAATAATCGTCAACTCATTTACCGATGAAGAGGGTTTAAGAATATTTGCTACAATGTGGGGGCTACAAGATACACCAGAAGTTCGGTTTCGTATATTCCAGATCAGAAATCGCCAGTACGATGACGAATTCGTACATGAAGAACTGGAAACTATTCTAAAACTATTTGATGAAAATAGTTATCCAGATGAAGATATGGAGTTGACTTTAGAAAATACAAAAACACAGAAGGAAATAGAGGGTGACAATAAAACACTTTTAACCAATGCTGATAAAGAAGAACTGACACAGGTGTGCATTAAAAACAGTGATTGCGATACATCCACTAATACTACAGATGAACTGTTTGAACCCTGGTCACCGTCTTTTCAAGCTGCCGTACTCAGAGATGAAAATATTGCCTCTTTATCTTATGCATGTATTCAAGATGGTGAATTCAGGTGTTTTTTTTTTAATAATAATTTTATTGAAATGAAATAATTTCTTATGTTTTTCACAGTATGAATTTCACTATAGACGTCTATAGAGTTGTATAATATATAATATAATATTATACTTTAAACAATAAAAGAATGTTGAATCTTACATTATCTTATCTTATTTTGTAGAAGCATAATCCTGAAATATATGTAAGAATGTTTTCAAATTTACAGAAAAGGAAAGAAATTTTTCTGCACACGGTGCAAACAACACTTCTACGGTTCAGAGACATTTTCAAGGTACCATGAAACACATCATTCACCTCAAGAACGCATCGAATCTGAACCTTCTACTTTTTACGCTGACTCACAAAATATGGAATTAAATTTAGACCAAATATCACCCGTTCAGGATGTTAACCTACAAATAGACCGTGGAGAGGACCCTTATACTATAGAACATACAGGGACTCACTTGTTTGAGATTCACAAAATAACACAAATCTTGATTCAAAATAACAGAAATTTTGATAAAAATTTATATGAAATATATAATAACTTTGACAGAAAACTGTTTACAAAATTACAGAAAACTGTACAAAATGACATAAATCTGTCTTTAAAATGACACGAAACTTGATCAAAATTCATATGAAATATATAGTGAAAATGACCAAAAACTGTTCTAACATTTACCAAAAATTTGTTTGAGATTCACAAAATAACACAAATCTTGATTCAAAATAACAGAAATTTTGATAAAAATTTATATGAAATATATAATAACTTTGACAGAAAACTGTTTACAAAATTACAGAAAACTGTACAAAATGACATAAATCTGTCTTTAAAATGACACGAAACTTGATCAAAATTCATATGAAATATATAGTGAAAATGACCAAAAACTGTTCTAACATTTACCAAAAACTTGGTTGAGATTCACAAAATAACACAAATCTTGATTCAAAATGACAGAAATTTTGATAAAAATTTATATGAAATATATAATAACTTTGACAGAAAACTGTTTACAAAATTACAGAAAACTGTACAAAATGAGTAGTATATGATGTAGTCGTTGACACCCTTTTGTGCGAATATTTTTGTGAGCGCGGTGTATGCGAATAGTTTTTGTGAGCGCGCGCCTGTCCGAGTGACATATGGCTCTAATTAATTTCTAGATAAATGCATCGTTCTTTGTTTAGGACAATATCAACGCGTAATGTAAAAGAAGCCTAAAAAATAATAATCTTTTGTGTTTTTCTTAAAATTTAGCGTAGTTTAAATCATTTAAACCAACGCGTATTATCAAATAATTAAAACGAACAAAAAAAAAATGTATGAAGCATATCATCTTTTTCATTCGTTGAATTAGATGAATAAACAAAAATAAATAAATATAGACTCCTTTACAATCGAGAAAAAAAATCAGTTTTTAACAAATAGGAGTTGTTTTACAGTAATTATCCGGTTCCCTCGGTTTCTTTGAAGTCAGCGCGGTCAAAATTGATAACGATTTAGGTAAACACAGTAATACGAAACGAACGCATGATCGACGAAAATATTTCAAATTAGTTCCTCTTTTCTTTATTAAAAGAATGTTAAATGTCACAAAAATATTTCTTTTATTTGAATTTTAATGATTATAATTTGATGTACAACATTTTATCATTATTACCATTTTCAATATATATATTTAAGAAAAGAAAAATTTCGTTTGATAAAAATTTCATAACTACTATGTAAAAAGAAAAGGAATACACAAAAGCTAACACATTCAGTCTGACACGAGCAAAAGCGATATTGGAAACATGAATTTAGTCTTAATATTTTGTTAGTCGTAAGTCTACAGTTGTATTTTTCAACTATAGTAGCTGAAAACATTATTAATCAACACACGTGTAAGTTTGAGGAAAAGTCAAAAACTTTGATTTGTAGTTACACGGGACAGGGAAATTATGTAACAGACAGGCAGATAGATCAAGTGGAAATTGTCCGGTTTCATTTCTTTGGAAAAGGACTTATTCAGATCAAATCTTCTCACCTGCCAGCCTTAAAACAAGTGGAAGTGATGAAAGCGCTTACAAGTGTGAACGAGGTCTGCATGTCTGTGCATGCGGATGCTCCAGTAAAAGTGGAAGACAACTTCTGTGAAACCATCAAGGTTAGTATCGATTTAATATTTATATACATTGATTGATAAAATAATAATCCACTTGCTTCTCATAAAATATATGGTTCTGTAACTCTACCGACTGAGCTACTCGAACACAGTGTTACTCTACCCAGTGTCTAATAATATATACTACACACACTAGTTTCCAGGTTTTCATCAGTAAAATCTTCTAACTAATTAAAAAACAAGACATACATGTAGATATATAGTTTTTAACTGTAAACTTATTAATGTATTATATTTGTTTTTTTGTTTTGTTTTGGGTTTTACGTCACATCGACACAGTTTAGGTCATATCGCGACGTTCCAGCTTTACTGGTGGAGGAAGACCTCAGGTGCCCTTCCGTGCATTATTTCAGGCACGAACGGGCACCTGAGTAGAACCACCGACGTTCCGTAAGCTAGCTGGATAGCTTCCTCACATGAAAGAATCCAAAGTCCCTGTCGGGATTCGAACCCACAGCGGTGAGGGGCAAGTGGTTTGAAGTCAACGACGTTAACCACTCGGCCACGGACGCCCCTAATGTATTATATAGTAACTAACTTGGGTTATTGATTTTTTTCAGGATTCTCCAACTTCAATTTCATTTCAAGATTATCCATCTACAATTTCAAATGAACATGCGAAATCAACCCAAAGTAAACTATCAGTTACTATAGAGATGAGAAAAGAGGACTATGCAACAGAACAGGTATTATCAAAACATCAACACCACCACCACCAGTAGTAATAATAATAATGATGTTGAAGATTAAACAACAACAGTAAAAATAATGTTGCTGATGAAAGTAATACTTATAATAATAAATATTTATTTCTATTTTATTTAAATTCAAGTCTTATCATTCATTAACTCATTTAATGAGAACTTTTTATTATTATTATTATTATTATTATTATTATTATTTAAATTTTACAGATATCAATAACCCTGCATCATCCGACTTTCTTTTTTGTTTTACTGTTTTACAGACTCGAGAAGCTCCGATAGGAAAGACACAAACCTTAACAATTATTATCACAGCTTTGTCTGGTAAGTTCTTTGTTTGATAGATTTTTTTTCCACAAAATCAAGTAAATTACATCTTTCATTGAGTAATATATGAAGAGTTGGAGGGGAGAGAAATACTTTATATCATATAAGGAAAATCCCTGTCAAAGTAAGGATTAAATCAAATACTTACCTTTAATATTCAATTATAATAATAAAAAGATATGACAACATTTCGCCATATATTGATAGAGAAATGGAGGTAAATTAAACAAAAGTAATGCTATTATAGTAATTTATATATTCTATATATAAATTTAGTTCAGTTTCTGTTATTTTTAAAAAAAAAAATCAGTTATCCTGCTAGTTATTCTTCTAAGTTGGGTAAAAGCTAGAATCAGTAGAATGTTAGAACAGAGAACACAACGAAAATTAATGAGACCAACGTTTCCCGGACTATCCTTTTCAGAACGAATGAGAGCTAGGCGTGGAGGTAGATCACGAACTGCTGACTCAGAAGTGTGATTTCTTTTATCTATTTACAGTTGTAATCATATGCATCTACAGAATGAGGATAAGACTTCGTAGAAATGTTCCAGGATGGAGAGATATCCGAGGTCTTCTAAATGCTCCAATCCTAAATCAGCATAATTACAATCTAAGACCAAGACGACGATAACCTCGTATAAAGAAAATAATATCTCTATTTTCGGGAAATGAACACTACTATATCTAGTTATTATTAGCTCTATGGAAACTTAAATACTTTTGAAAAGGAGAACAAATATTTTCTGAAATGCATGCTAACATAATATATATCTAGTCATTCTTAAGTTTGTTTGATTATAGTGCTACACTAGAGTTTTTAAGTGTAGATTTTTTTGCTAGTAGAATCTAGTCATGTTAAATTATTAGTCTATGTTTTATGTAGTAGATGTTATAGTAAAACATGTTAAAATGAGACATAAATCAGTAAAATATTTTAATTCTAAAGGTACTTATAACTCGTGTTGAATTAGTTTTTTAATAATCCTCATCTTTTTGTTGATAAATTCAAATAGTTAGTAATTTGATAGATATCTGTGATACACTTAACAATATATGTTCATTCCTTAAAATACTTTCATCTCTACTTCATTCCATTTAATAAACTTTACTCAGGTTTCATTTTCATATACAATCATGTGATTCCATATTTTTTGATAGTTTTGTTTACTTTATGATCTCATGTATAGTATTAGTCTTTTAGATGTAGTTTGTTGTACATACTTCATAGCTGTTGTGTTTTCCTGAATAAATATCTTATACTCTTAATTAAATTAATAAGACAAATAACCAACTGAATAACTTTTAACTATCAATAAAGTCAATATTTTATCTTCCCACAAAGAGTCTTTATTCATAGGTTTGAATGTAATAAGGATAGAAATCAGGTAAATGATATTAAACTAGAATATAATTCACTATTATAATAATTTTCATTCTAAAACAATATAACTAGTATTCAACTAGTTTATGTTAAATCTTGACTTTTCCTTGCTGAAATAGAATTTATTCATATATTTGAAAGAGATATGTGATATTTTATAAAAAAAAAATTTTGTTTCACTTTATCCTTTTCTATGTAATATTTTTTTGATAATTTTGTTTTGTCTTCTGTTCTCATACCTTAGTATTAGTGTTTAGTTGTAGTTTGTTTGTTTTCAATTGTTTTAAACTATTTTGTTACTTCATATCTTCAATATTTTACATCATTTCAAATATTTTAGATATAAATTTCTTTTCAGGAGTACTAACCATTTCATTTACCAACTGGTGTGGATTAGAAGAAAACAGTGTTATCATTATTAATCAGAAGTTAGTGACTAACCAGTTGTGAAAATCAGATATTTGTATTTACTTCATGTTATTTTAAACTTTAAAATGAACAATTGAACAATACCTGTCTACCTCAGTCATAAGTTTTTTCTTCTTTTTTTTATTCCTAGATTTATAGCTATAGAAACTTTGTTAATTTTGTTTTATTAAATTAGAAATATATTAGTAAAAAAAGTAGTTTTCTCTTTCCTATACCCATTTTATTTCATTGAATTCATTCTGTGTGAGAGAAAACATCTGCTTGTATCAGCAACATGAACATACACCTAAATCATTGTTATTTCCTCATAGGTTTATCTCCTTATAGTGAAAACTATTTTAAAAAAATTAGTTGTTGTGGTTGTTTACTAATAAGGAGTTGGTAAATGTATTTCACAAAAAAAAAACAATGGCTAACATTTCTATATATTTAATACATTAATAATTATACGATACAAGTACAAAAAACAATAATAATAATATATGTTTTCTAGAGCCTATTTTGTTTGAAATATAATAGATTTACGAGTTTGATAAAAAACGTTCGTTCAATCTTTCTATACATAAGTACGATGAAAAAGTCATTCGGACTCGTACTTTTTGTCCAGAATAAGCATGCATGTGGCGTACAATTCGTTGTTCTCCTTTAGCTCATTTTCATTAACTAGTTTTCTTAACTCGTCCTCACTTGTTCGTTCCATAGGGGTATTCGCTGACCTTACTATGCCTTTAATTGAAGGTGTCTTTTCTAGCAGCTTTTCCGCAATGTCGATAATTTCATCGTCTTCTATCGTCGCTACAGCCGAGTCCCACATCCCGTTTACACGGTGATCCCAAGGCGCTAAACAACCACCATATCCCATGTGATCTTTCTGTGAACAATCATCCTCCGAACAGCCTTCACATCCATAGTTGCTCCACATTTCATTTATTTTATGGCGGAGAAGACAAACTTCTACTGTCTGTAACAAATCGTTCGTTGCTTTCACGTTCGTTTTGATTACATCGAGCAATCGTTTCAATTCTTCAGACAAGAATTTCGCTTCTGTTATCGATAATCGAACGCCATCTTTGGTGTAGGAATACCCCTTTTCTTTCTTCTTCATGCATTTTCTTATATCGATGTCGATTTCTCCGGCTCTGTACCCATTCTCTTTAACAAAGAGTATGGGCTTGTATTCCTGGTCATTTTCGGCTATTGGTAAAATATTTACGGGTATATCCATCGTTTTACTGTTTTTATTCCCTTTGCATCTTTTAACTAAGGATAACACAAACGGCATTTTGGTTACTATTCCGCGCATAGCGACGTCTCCTAGTCCTATCGACTTTTCCCCGTTTTTGGTTTCCTTCGATACGACAGCCACGAACTCGTTAAAGACAATATCGTATCTCAGCGACACCTTTATTATTTCTGTTAATTGACAGGTTTCGAATTCCACATCTTCTCTGATTAAGGCATGTCCATCATGGGATAGTCTCAGCATTTTACGCTCTACCATATCATCATATGAATCTCTGGAGTCAGCTGTGCGTTTTGTAGCCATTATGTTTAGGTGTTCTGTAATTTACATAAATATTCACTCATTAAATTTCCTCTTTTTTTTTGTCTAAATATAAGTATTATTATTTGTTCAACTAACACACACAAAAAAATATTCTGAACTTATCACATGCATGCACGTACAAAATACAGACTTTTATCTGTTAATTATAAGATCGCCTATCAACTCGACCCAACAACCTCTTCTTAATTTGATTCTTAATTGTTTTAGATCGGACATTGATAGTGAAGACAAGTTTTCTTCAATTTTATCTTGCGATAGATATCCACATTTCCTTATTATGCTTTCGTAGCATAATGACATAAGACAGTTAGGACAACTTGAAAACGTTCGTTGTCGCAGTATTTCATTTATTATCGAAACAAAGTCTAACACCTTAAAAACGCATTCTTCAATTAAATATTCGAAAATGTTTTGGCGAAACTCATTCAAAACAGGAGACGGTAACTTTGTTAAAACGTCTCTTATTTGTAGCGTATTTCCTGCTTTTAAATTAACACATAAATCTTTTAAAAACACAGTTGAAACCTTTTCGTATAAAGTTTTTCCTAGGGTTTCTTCGAATGTTGCAGTCATAATATATTTATTTCTGTAGATAAAAAAAAGGCGTTACACTTTTTTTCCAATTAAATAGATAAAAAAGCGTATAATTTCTACAGACTTCTGATCTATACTAGTTGTAATAATTTTGTAATAATATTATTATCTAATTGTTAAGACGTTATCAAATAAATTCATGGAATAACAAAATATAGTATACTTATAGTTTTAATAATATTACTATATAATTGTGAAGACGTTATAAAATAAATTCGCGGAATAACGAAATCTAGTATTATAAATTATATAATTTTTGAATAATAAATAAATAAAAACGATAATAATTTTATCATTAATAAAATTTTTAACAATTATAAAACGTACTCACATTCAAAATCCGAAACAGTTCATCTGTAGTATTAGTGGATGTATCGCAATCACTGTTTTTAATGCACACCTGTGTCAGTTCTTCTTTATCAGCATTTGTTAAAAGTGTTTTATTGTCACCCTCTATTTCCTTCTGTGTTTTTGTATTTTCTACAGTCAACTCCATATCTTCATCTGGATAACTATTTTCATCAAACTGTTTTAGAAATAGTTTCCAGTTTTTCATGTACGAAAATTCGTCATCGTACTGGCGATTTCTGATCTGGAATATACGAAACCGAAACTTCTGGTGTATCTTGTAGACCCCACATTGTAGCAAATATTCTTAAACCCTCTTCATCGGTAAATGAGTTGACGATTATTTGAAACTCTTCCATGATCGGTGTTCTGAGGCAAATTAAAAAAAATAGAGCAAAAGCATTAACAAAAATGTTTCCAAATGAATACAGTCAAGACTACCTTATCGACTCCCTGATTTTACCGACTTCCTGTCATATGCGACTGTATTTTTTCTTAGTATTTTACAGAGTCTTGTGTACAGAATGTCTTTTAAAACTTATTGTTAGTACATATATTTGTAAGTTATTTCATTAAAGGCATAAAAGTGGCTGTGTTGTTAGAATGTACATGAGTGTTAGTGATTTTATCTTTGCGAGATCTGATCATAATCTTCTTTTTTTTTTTGGACACCTGTCTATTTAATATTTAAAAAAACTACACTTTTTTTTTGTTAGACAAGTGTTCACCGACAAAAGCGAAACATGGAATATTTAGGCATACCAGTTAACGTTCTTTTTTCTGATGAGATTCCTCCGCCAATGATGGAATTTAAAGATATTTTACAAGATAATACCAAACCTTTATTTGCTATTAAAATATTTCCGTGTGATGCAATAAATTATCTCAGATCAAACGGATCCGGCCAGTACACTCTTGGTAAGTTTTTTTTCATTAGCATACATATATTATTTATGACAGATGATAAAAAAGTAAGAACACGTGAGTACATATTCACACAATGATGTTCTTATTACTGTATAAGAATTAATATTTTCTTTTTAGGTAATGCAAAAATCACACAAATATGCGGTGAAACGAACATAACCATCAAACTAGAGAAAAAAGACTGGGGTTTAAATCTAATAGATGTAATATACGCCAAACATGGAAACTTTCTACAATGTGAAACAAAGACATCTCCAGACAGTTCCAAGCTTATGGATGTTATATTTAAGGTATAAAGGTTTAAAATATAATAGTCAAATATGAAATAAAAAAAAAACAGTTTTAGAAAATAATTTAAAAATGTAACCTAATTAGTCCTTTAAAACAGACAGTCTGCGTGTTATATTTTTTTACATTATACAAGGCGATTTATGTACATATATTTTTTTTCACCAGTTCCTGGGCTTGTTTCAAGGCGGAATCAGAGAAAGAAAAGTTGACTTTATAAATCTAAACATTGAGATTGTTGACAAACCAATATTTAAAAGCGGCCACAGAGTACATGGAATTACATCAATCAAAAGAAAACAAAAACGCTTACCTTTAATAAAAATTTTAGTGTCTTCTCATCAAGTACCACAGGAGGCTGTGTATGCGTGCTTAGTACATGAATTAGCACATGTATTAACGTGGAATATCAGCAAAAACGAACATCACGGAAACATCTGGATGTTTACAAATGGCTGCATTTTATCCTTGTTTCAAGATTTTCTTACAAGTTGTACAGAGTCCAGTATGTATTACATGTGTGTAACTGCTTCAGGTTTCAACATTGTTGAAAAGACTCAAATGATAACAATACCAAAGTACGTATTACCTATAAATTTGTAACTTTTTTATTAAAATATAGGATAAGCGCTAATTATATGAATATATCCTTTTTCGAAAACTGCAACCACTCTTACTTTTCGAGTCTCTTTTTGCGCATATCCTAATATACCTATGCTAAATCCAAATGTCTTTTCAAACTTGAATTTCTTTGAAGTTAAGCAATAGTCTGGGTCTTTCAGACACTCTGTTACACTAAGAATGAACAAGTTTTTACTGGTACATACAGAAGCTGTAATGTTATTATTTTTATAATTACTGTTTATGTAAAAGGATATATTCATATAATTAGCGCTTATCCTATATTTTAATAAAAAAGTTACAAATTTATAGGTAATACGTACTTTGGTATTGTTATCATTTGAGTCTTTTCAACAATGTTGTACTTCCGATTTCGCCACAATGAGGTTGTCCATTGTTTATGCTTATAAAACTCATTTTGGATGTGTGGACACCAAAATAAGATCTGGAGTGGATATGAAACCCAATTTATTAATGAATTGTCGCTATTTCTGTTTTTATGAAATTTATTAAATGTAACTTTAATCTTATATTTTTATTACACCATAGTTATCTTAAATGTTTAAATCTTATGATTATTTTTTAATTTTCTAGCTGAAGTCAGCTCTGGACAGAAGATGAAAAGAACGGCACTTACTTACTTCAGCATGAAAATGTCTTTAAAGATGCTGTGTTTATGTGGGAGAAATGTATAAATTCATGGACGATAAACATGATTCGACAAGTTCGAGAACAGTTTTGGTTTAATACAAAGCCATCTACAATGGCAGTATTAAAATAGATAAATACAGAATCCCTAAAGAAAGCCCAACACGGCAAAATTGAAAATGTTGCAGGCTCGGTTTGATTGAGCCTGTTCATGGACGGTACTGGAAAGTGCAAGTTACCGTCCACGCCCCCTAGCACCGGCTTAAGCAGAATTCAACATTTAAACGTGAAATAGTAAAATTTTGAATTTAGAAACATCCGCAGATGTGTTCATACGGCGGTTATCATGGAACCTTCAATGTGACACTTCCGTGCCATTCCATGAAAAGCGGCGTATGGTCCCCAAGTAATAAAAAGCGTATGCCCTAAACGAGAAAACAATGGGCGGAACTAAATAAAATGGAATTTTGAAAGGGGATCAGAGGTTATGAAGCCTGCGTATCACAGATAAGACGTCAAAAGACAAATTTAAAAAGCAGGCAACATATCCTAAGGGTGATTCAACATTATTCAAGTAGGAAAATTGGAACCACCCAAGTGGAAAATGCCGAAAAGTTGAAGTCATACTTTGAAATCTTAGAAAAGCACGGCAACTTTTGATATTTTAATGTTTAAGTTGCAAAACAAGATTATCATATTTGCTCAAAGGCATTTAAGAACGTTAATTAAAATACTTTGACAACAGTTGCTGAAACGTTTTATGAGGAATCTATATCAACTGTGGGGAAATCACCTAGGGTCTGGAGCAAGAACACACTGATATTGATTACATGGCTAGAGAATTATTTCAATTTCCATGGGGAGAGAATACCACATATAAAAGACATTGTTTTACCATTTGGGGCTTTTATTCAAGATATCTACAACACTTATAAAGATGAGATAAGAAATCCGGTGAGCAGATCACAGGTTTATAAGACTTGGTCTGACAACTTTGCCTATGTAAAAGCCAAAAGGTAAATGTATTTTAATGTATTGGTAGTGTGGTTATTTTATTATTCAGAATGTCTACCCAACCTCCAGTCAGAGACTTAATACATTTTTGTTAAAAAATACTATGTTTTAATTTTGAAAATATTTAAAATCAGTGATTACTTTGTTTTATTCATACAAAATCGTAATATATTAGTTTTCTGGATGTCCTACAATGTCTTCTCAACAATGTTTTTTTTTTATAAATATGCCCCCTTCGAAGAAGAGAGGGTATATTGTTTTGCTAATGTCGGTCGGTTAGTCTGTTCGTCTGTATACCGAATGGTTTCTGCTGATTATCTTGAAAAGCATATCTATAATGCCCACATCCCTGACAAAAGCTTTCGTGACGGGCGTATTTTGCGAAAATTGATCTATTACAGAGTTACGGGAATACTGTATAAGAAAGTTTAGCTTGTCCGTTTTGATTACATGTCTTACTTTGGGACACTGGTTTCAACATCCGATTCTCGGGCATAGTCACTACAGACCTTTCTAATAAAGGTGTATTCTTGAACTTGAATAAACTTATACACTCTATTTTATGGTGGCTGAGTTGTTAATTGGACAATTCGGACTATGGACATTTCCTACCAGACATGTCGAATCAGATTTGGGGACACTTCAGAACAGATTTTGGAACAAGATATTCAGACACTTCGGGCCTTACATAGGCGAAGCAAAAGTATGACACGGCACAAATCAGCCACCATAGAATGTTCTATACAGGTTTCACTACACATGCATAAATAATGGAACGATCAATAAATGGCTCGTCCCATTTTAGTAAAAAATAATTATAACAATATATAGTTATCAAAAGAATGTCTTTTTTATTTCAATGCTGTTAAATAGGAATTGATTTACCTGTTTTTTTTAAAACCTTCTAACCGTGTCTGTCACGGATAAGATGAGTTAATTATGAGGCACCTAAATTGTGTAAATTGTGATATTTGACATTGATAAAGTGAATAATCAATCCAGCAATTAATCATCTATATAAAAGTATACTATTTCTAAATATTTTATTTTATAAGGTAAAAGTTACTTAAAGTAAAACAATTTACTTTCAATTTGTTTTTTTTCTTTGCAGCACAATGTACAGTACTGCAACTTACAGTGGAAATGGCAGAAGCACACATCATTAGTTACTTCAAGGGACGAAGTAACCGATTCCTTGACGATGGAACAACAACAGGAAAATAAGTTTAAAAGATGTTAATGTATTTTTTCAGTGGACATTAACAACAGGAATTCAGAAAACAAAATAATTTTCAACTAGGACAATTACAAAACATTGAGAATTTTTGAAGTAAATGTTTAATCCTAATATTTAAATCTGAATTATATTTCATCATTGTATGGTTTAAATTTTTGTAAATTTCTTTAAGGCAGATTTTGATTACTTCTAAAACCATTTTATTTATCTTATATTATATCATATATAAGTTATAAGGCATTTGCGCTTGCTTGCTGAATGTTTATCGTCAAAGCTGGAACATAATTTCTTTTGTCCTATTTTACAAATAAGGACAAAACAGTTTATAAAGAACATTACCTTTATTTGTCTCACCATGTAATTTAACACCATCTCGAATCAGCCATGTATTTCCTGCTATAGATAGATTGTTTTATTTCTAATAATGCCCACCACTAAATGAAATTAATTTCCCCATCTTACACCTAAAGTATTGGTCCTAAGCTTCCCGTAAACTATACCTGTATTTAATGATGTTTCATTTGTGTATTGTTTGTTTGTTTGTTTCATTTTACGCCTTTTTCCAACAGTATTTCAGTCATATAGGCGGGTAGTTTCCTAACCATCGTTCCTGGAGAGTTACACCAGTACTAGACTACCTTCCTCCGCGCTAAACTACCAAAGCATCTCCCGGGGATCGAACCCACGCCAGAGAGGTAACTGGATTAGAAGTCATCGACTCTAACCCCTCGACCACGGAGGCGGTTTCATTTGTGTATGAACAATTACTTAAATGTATTTTGCCTTGTCAAAAGAGCATTAACATCCTAAAAAAAAGTGCTCCACTTTTCTCAGTGATAAAAACCAAGATTAAAAAAGAAAAAGGATAATTATGCAAATATGCTTGGCATACAAAACAACTTGTTTTTTAAAGGGTAACACGTAATTCAAGCCGGTGCTAGGGGGCGTGAGGGATGTTGCACTTATTCATTATCCCTCATGTACAGGCTCAATCAAACCGAGTCTGCAATTCTTATGTTATTTTGTTGTGATTAATGCTTCCGAGGGATCACTTTGTTTCCAGAATTTTGTACTTCACAACAGCAGGTGTCAAGTGCCGTGTGGCAGCCGTAAAAAGTTGCCCCGTACTTCACTTCAGTGTTGTTATATTTTCTGGTCCTTCGGGATCATTGATGACAGCACTATAAAGTGTTGAGAATTGAGTACCGCTCAAGCCGGTGCTAGGGGGCGTGAGGGATGTTGCACTTATTCATTATCCCTCATGTTCAGGCTCAATCAAACCGAGACTGCAATTCATATGTTATTTTGTTGTGATTAATGCTTCAGAGGGATCACTTTGTTTCCAGAATTTTGTACTTCACAACAGCAGGTGTCAAGTGCCGTGTGGCAGCCGTAAAAAGTTGCTCCGTACTTCACTTCAGTGTTGTTATATTTTCTGGTCCTTCGGGATCATTGATGCCAGCACTGTAAAGTGTTGAGAATTGAGTACCGCTCAAGCCGGTGCTAGGGGGCGTGAGGGATGTTGCACTTATTCATTATCCCTCATGTACAGGCTCAATCAAACCGAGTCTGCAATTCTTATGTTATTTTGTTGTGATTAATGCTTCCGAGGGATCACTTTGTTTCCAGAATTTTGTAGTGATTTATTTGGTTTCTAAGAAAATGCTTATATTCCAAATTAAAAAACAAAGAAATACTGAAGCAAAAACGTTTAGAGACTTATCTGTCTATAAAAATATTTAATTTAGTGGTGAACAAGAACTCCATTTTCTAACAAAATATCTTTCATACTTAATGTGAAATTTTCCTTAACTAAAAAGTTCACAAAGAAATTCATAGTATAAAAGGGAACATACCTGAAGAAGAATACATTATAAAGTTACTTGACCCTTAGTTATGCATTCCAATTTAAGATTAATTGCCAAGAATTATTTATTGTAGTGTTCTTAGGTACAGCATTCCGTTGTTTCATTTTAACAGACCCGAAAAAGAAATTGAACATGATCGAACGGATGGCACTATTACTTGGTAAATGGAAATTATTAATAAACGTTTTAAATAGGAATTTTAAGAATACCTTGCATAGGCATAATGCCATTTTTCCAGCTTTGTTTGTTCAAGTCCCATGTTT